GGCATCACAGCTCACAGCAACCTCCAACTCCTGGGCTCAAGCGAGTCTACTGCCTCAGCCTCCCAAGTAGCTGGGACCACAGGCACCCACCACAATGTCCGGCTATTTTTTGGTTGCAGCCATCATTGTTGTTTGGTGGGCCCAGGCTAGATTTGAACCTGCCAGCTTAGGTGTACGTGGCTGGCGCCTTAGCCACTTGAGCCACAGGGGCCGAGCCCCCACTGTCCTTTTTATGCAGGTATCTCTTCTACTTTATTTACCTGTGTCTTTCTTTTATCATGTATTTTAGAGGCATCATTGGCTTTTCAAATAAATTATAATTAAAACGAACAAATCTTAAGGGTACCACTGTATGCAATTTTTGTATGTAGTCATCTGTGTAATCACTAACCAGATGGAGATATAAAATATTTCCATCACACCAGAAGTTTTTCTTGTACCCCTTCCCAGAAAATATTTCCCCACAAAGAAGTATCTACTATTCTGACTTCTACTATAATAGATTAATATTGCTAGTTCTTGAACTTCTTGTAATTGGAATCATATAATATGCCTTCTGTTGTAACTGGCTTCTTTCACTCAATATGATGTGAGTGAGATTCAACCATGTTGTTGCCTTTATTAGTACTTTAATCTTTCTCATTAGAATTATTATAGTATATTTTTAACTTTATAAAAACTGCCAAATAGTTTCCTGAAGTGGCTGAAACAATTTACATCCCCACCAGCTCAACTAAGTCTACATCTTCACCAGCATTTGGTGTTGTCAGTCTTTAATTTTAGCCATTCTGGTGAGTAGATAGTATTGTCTCATTGCAGTTTTACTTTGCATTTCCATTATGCTTAAATGTTCTGAAGCACTTCTTTTTTTTTTCTTTTTTTTTTTTTTTGCAGTTTTTGACCAGGGTCAGGTTTGAACCCACCACCTCTGGCATATGGGGCTGGTGCCCTACTCCTTGAACCACAGATGCCGCCCAGCACTTCTAATTCTAATTCATCACATCTACCTATAGGACTGTCCAAAGCATTATGTGATTCTTTTCCACCCAGGAGGCCAAGTCCAGTCCTAAAGCCTAGCCCAGAGTCAGCAAATGGCCCAAAGCTTACCTAGACAAGGTCTTCCTTCTCTAGAATTGTAGTTCATCCAATCCTTATCATCTATCTATGACTCTGCATTGACTTAAAAAACATAAATTTTGTACCTTATCTGATGTTTTGTCTGTTTTCAGTGGGAAGATTGATAGCCGTCTGTGATCTACTAAATCACTGCAAGAAGTCGGACTTCTGTTTCTTTCTAGAGTCAATTTTGGTAAGTTTTCTTTTTTAAGGAATTTGTTCCCTTAACCTCAGTCTTATTTAGTCATGTAAAGTTGGTTGTAGTATCCTCTACTCCCTTTAATTTTTATGGCATGTCACAGTGCTTATTTGTGCCATCTCTCTTCTATTCCTGGATTAATCTTCCGATGGGTGTGTCAATTTTATTGCTCTTTACTGAGAATAACTTTTGAACTTTGGTGAGTCACTCTCCTATAACTCTTATTCATTTTATAGATTTCTGCTTATTTTCTCCTCCCTTCTTCTTACTTCAGGTTTATTCTGTTCTTCTTTGAGCTTACTAAATTGACATTTAGTTTATGCTTTTCAGTCAGTCTCCTACTTTTATAAAAGCATTTAAGGCTATAAATATTTCTCCAAATATTGTTGACACTATTTCTTGCAAGTTTTTTATTTTTGCAGTTTTTGGCCAGGGCTGGGTTTGAACCTGCCACCTCTGGCATATGGGGCCAGCACCCTACTCCTTTGAGCCACAGGTGCCACCTGCAAGTTTTGATATGAAGCTTCTTTTACTGTTCAGATCTAAATTTTTTTCCTCTGTTATGAATGCCAATGTAATTTTTTATTTTTTTATTTTTTATTTTTTTTTATTTCAACTTTATTACTTTGAAGGTTTTTTTTAAATTTTTTTTTTTATTACTTCTTCCTCCTGTAGTGTTTTCTTGCCCCCCATGGAGCTGGGATCACAAGGTCCGGCTGTCTCGTTGTCCTGTTGTTGTTGTAGTAGAGACGGGGTCTCACTCTGGCTCATTTGGCTTAGGGGGGTCTTGGCTGGTCTCGAACCTCTGAGCACAGGTGATCCACCCACCTCAGCCTCCCACAGCACTGGGACTACAGGCGTGAGCCACCACGCCCGGCCATAATTTTTTATTTAGTAATTAAACTTTTCACTTGAGATCATTGTAGATACATGTGCAGTTGTGAGAAATAATGAGATATTCTGTATACACTTTCTCCAGTTTCCTCAATGGTAAAATCTTACAAAACTACAATACAGGTTTATAGCCAGATATTGCCATTGATATTTAAAAAAAAATTTTTTTTTCATCACTATAAGGATCTCTCATGTTGCTCTTTTAAAAACTTGCCCACCTCCCTTAGGCCACCACTGCTTCTTAACCCTAAGTTATTAATATATTCTCTATTTTTACAATTTCTCTATTTCCAGAATGTTATATAAATGCAATTACACAGAATGTAGCATTTAGGGGCGGGACTTTATCACTCAGCATAATTCTCTGAAGATTTATGCAATATTGTTGTGTGTATCAATAGTACACACACACTTACGTATGTTACTTCTATGTTACGCATGTAAAAGGGTTTGTTTCACCATTCACTTTTTGATGGACATGTAGATTGTTTCCAGTTTAGGGCTATTATGAATAAAACTGCTATAAACATTCATGTGCACATTTGAGTGACTATGAGTTTTCCTTTCTCTGTGATAAATGTCCAGCAGTACAATTCCTAAATCACATCATGGTTGCAAGTTTAATTTTTGGAAAATGTCCAATTGTTTTCCAAAGTAGCCTCAGCATTTTACACTCACACCAGTAATATATGTCTGACTCATCCAGTTTTTCCACATCCTTCCGCTCTGAGCTCTGATCGTTATGTAGTGGTAGCTCATTGTGGTTTTAATTTACATTTCCTTGCTGGCTAATGAAGACAAACATCTTTTAATCTGTTGATTTGCTATTCATGTATTCTCTTCAGTAACATCTATTTCTTTTGTCATTTTTCTAGTTGGATTGTTTGGTTTTCACTTTTGAGTTTTGGGAGTCTTTAAATCTAGATAATAGTCCGTTATGTGGTTTGTAAATATTCCTCCCTGTCCATAGCATGTTTTTCATACTGTCCTTTGAAAAATAAGTTTTTAATTTTGATGAAGTTGAGTTTATCAATTTTTCTTTTTATGATTCATGAGTTTGGAATCGAATCTAGGTACTTTTTGCCTATCCTATGCTGATCATGAAGATTTTCTCCTATGTATTTTTCTATTTTTTAAAAAATTTTTCATTTAAGTTTACAATCTATTCTAAGTTAATTTTTGTAGAAGGTGAGAGGTTGGGTTGTGGTTCCTTTTTCCTCCCATGGATGTCCAATTACTCTAGCATCATTTGTTAAAATAAGTATTCTACCTTTGAATTGTTTTTGCACCTTTGTCAAATATCAGTTGGGCATATTTGTGTGGGTCTACTTCTGGAATCCTACTCTGTTTCATTGGTATTTGTGTATATCTATCTACCCATACTATACGGCCCTGACTTAGTAGTTATGAGTGTAGGAAAAAAGTCTTCTACTTTATTCTTTTTTATAAAAAATTATTTTAACTATTTTACTTCCTTTGCCTTTCCATATAAATTTCACAATATTCTTGCCTGTATGTACAATCCTTTTTTTTTTTTTTTTTTTTTTTTTTTTGCCAGGGCTGGGTTCAAACCCTCCACTTCTGGTATATGGGCCAGCGCCCCACTCCTTGAGCCACAGGTGCTGCCCTTATTATATCTACAATCTTGTTGGAATTCTGATAGAGATTATATTAAACCTATATATAATGATCTGGGGACAACTGACATTCTTACTATATAATATGTCCAGTCCATGAACATGATATGTATCTCTACTTAGGTTTTTTATTTCTTTCATCAGTGTTTTGTACTTTTCAACATAACATTCTTCCATATTCTTTTTTTAGATTTACAGCTATTTGGGGGGTGGGTAGTGATTGCAAATGAAATTGATTTTTTAGTTTTGGTGCCCATGTATTCATGCTTATATAGAGAAAAGTAATTGATTTTTTTGGATATTTATCTAATATCTGAAAAGCTGAACTCACTTGTTACTCCTATGGACTTTTTTTGTACATTCTTTGGTATTTTCTACGTAGATAGTCCTGCCATCTGAAAACAGGGAGAATAATCACTTCTTGGTCTTGGGCTAAGACGAAGTGAAAATAGGAATAATTTTATTCCATCCATGCTCTATATCTTTTATTTTCTTCTCTTGCTCTGTTGCACCAGCTAGAACTTCCAGCTTTATAATGAATAAGAGTGGTGAACATCCTTGCTTTGTTCCCAGAGTTTACAGTCTTTCACTATTAATTGTAATGCCAGCTGTAGGGTTTTTATGGTGCTCTGTATCAGGCTTCACTCAAGTCCTAGTTTTCTGAGAGTTTATTATGAGTGTGTGTTTAGTTTTCTCAAATGCTTTTTCTGTATCTATTTATAAGATCATGTGATTTTTCTTCTGTAACCTGTAAATATAGAAGACTTCACTTAATTGAATTGAATATTAAACTATCTTGCATCCCTAGAATAAACTCTACTTGGTCTGGTTTATAACTGTCTTCTATATTGTTAAGTTCTGCTTGTTGTTATTATGTTAAGAATTTTTGCTTCTGGCGGGGAGCGGTGACTCACTCCTATAATCCTAGCCTCTAAGAGGCTGAAGCAGGTGGATTGCCTGAGCTCAGGAGTTTGAGAGCAGCCTCAGCAAGAATGAGATCCTGTCTCTACAAAATATGAAAAACTGAGGCAAGAGGATTGCTTGAGCCCAAGAGTTTGAGGTTGCTGTGAGCTGTGATGCCACTGCACTCTACCAAGGGTGACAAAGTGAGGCTGTCTCAAAAAAAAACCAAAAAACAATTTCTGCTTCTTTATTCATGAGGGATATGAGTTTGGAGTTTCATTTTTTGTACTATTTTTGTCTGGTTTTGTTATTAGGGTAATACTTCCAAAATGAATTGAGAAATATTCTTCTCTTTCTGTTTTCTGGAAAAGATTGTGTAGATCAATGTTAATTATTTAAATGTCTGGTATAATTATCCAGTGGAACTGTCTGGGCATAGTGATTTTTTCTTGTGAGAAGATTTCTAAAATTAAAAATCCAATTTTCTTAGGAAAAATAGAACTATTCAAATTATCTATTTCATATTGAGTTGTATAAGTTTGTGTTTTTTGAGTAATCGGTCCATTTCATTTAAGTTATCAAATTTATGTGTACAAAGTTGTTCATAGAATTCCTTTATTGTCCTCTTGATTTCTATAGAGTATCAAATAACAACCATTGTTTCACTTCAGATATTGATTATGTCTGTTTTTATTTTTAGTCTTGCAAAGGTTTATCAATTTTATTGATCTTTTCAAGGAAGCAGATCTTTGTTTCATTTATTTCCTCCAAAATTTTTCATATTCCCTTTTTTCTCCTTGCTTTGGATTTACTTTCCTCTTTTTTCCTTAGGTTTTAAAGTAAGCTGAGTTTATTGTTTTGAGACTTTTCTCTTTTCTAATGTATGCATTTATTGCTATGAATTTTTCCTTTCAACACTGCTTTAGCTGTGTCTCACAAATTATGATATATTATATTTTCATTTTTATTCATTACATGTATTTTTTTAATTTCATTTGAGACTTTCTCTTTGGCCCATGAATTATTTAGAAGTATGGTTTCATATTTAGTGATTTTTCTCTTATCTTTCTATTAATAATTTCTATGATGATTTCATTATTGTTGGCAATCATATTCTATACAATTTTAATTCTTTTAAATTCATTGAAGTTGGGGATTCTGGGAAGATGGCTAAGTGGTAACAACCCTCAGCAGAGGTTTCTGACCAGATGGGGAAAAACTGGATGGAATTAGACCCTAGGAAGCCAAACGTGGGGAACTGAACCAAGAAAGAAGTTTAGCAAGCTGTAACTCCAAGGAAGAACATTCATGAAAACAAATTATGGGTACAAAGCTGATGGACTAGAGGATGGGAGACCCCTCCCCCAAGCAGGAGGCCCTCTGCAGGCTATCTTCGAGCAAGCAGGGAACAAAAGACCTCTCATTGCACCTCGCTGGAGAGCCACTAAACACCAGTTCTCATTCTCCAGGGAGGTCCCACTTATGAACACCCACCAGGCATAAAATTGAACAGATATCTTCCCCCACCACAAGTCCAAACTCCCAAACCACCCTTCCCCC